GGGGGGGGGTTAACATAAAAAAATGTATCATCATAACTATATAAATAAATAATAACTGATTATGGACAATTTGTGTTTGTTTACTTAATCAGAATATTTGATGATGTGTTGCCAGGTTTATAATGGCTGAACTACTGCAGACAGAGAGGACGTATGTCAAGGATCTGGAGATTTGTATCAAGGTAACTGATTGATTTCTCCCAAACTAGACCTCCGAAATACAAAGTTTGGATTTTCACTTTTGAGTCGTACAGTTTCTATTTGTGTATCTTTACATATTAAGTTTGATGGATCAGACCATTAAGACATTTCTATATATCACAAGAAAGTAAAATATGAATTGAATTAAACAGGAGTTTTTCAGTTTGAGTATTGAAAAAATTGAAAATTGTGATTTTTTTTTTATGATTCATAGATACTCAAAGTGAATTAATACAACAAACAAAATGTAAAATAAAAAGGTAGATATGTGGTGATTTGAAGATTTATTTGGAAAACAAGTTGTGATTTGAACATTCTTTTGTTATGAAATTGCAGATTTCAGACACTTGGTTTGTAGTGTCTTTGTTAGCACTTTTATTATTGGTTACAAGATTTGTTGGAATTTTCATATTATATAATTTTGGCTATTCCCTCAATGCTAGAGTTTTCCAGGTTTTATTGTGCATAAACTACTTTGTTGTTATTCCCTAAACAGATATACAATACTAACTACAACGAGTTGATTGTGTGTGTTTTTCCAGTGTTATCAGAACGAGATGATGATTAATACCAACAACGTGCCGCTGGGTATCGTGGGCAAGTACAAGATCATCTTCTGTAACATAGAGGAGATACACGACTTCCATAACAGGTACGTCACCAGGAATGTTAAACATTGTCAACAACACTTGTACGCAACATGCGTGTCACAATATCACATAGAAATCTTCTTTTTCTGCCAAACTGACATTTCATTAGTTACAACTTACATAGAAACCTGATTTCATTGCCATGATTACATAGAAACCTGATTTTATTGCCATGGTTACATGGAAACCTGATTTCATTGCCATGGTAACATAGAAACCTGATTTCATTGCCATGGTTACATAGAAACCTGATTTCATTTTGTTGGTTACATAGAAACCAGATTTCATTGCCATGGTTACAAAGAAACCTGATTTCATTGCCATGGTTACATAGAAACCTGATTTCCTTTCATTGATTACAAAGAAACCTGATTTCATTGCCATGGTTACATAGAAACCTGATTTCATTGTCATGGTTACATGGAAACCCAATTTCATTGTCATCGTTACATAGAAACCTGATTTCCTTTCATAGATTACAAAGAAACCTGATTTCATTGTCATGGTTACATGGAAACCCGATTTCATTGTCATCGTTACATAGAAACCTGATTTCCTTTCATTGATTACAAAGAAACCTGATTTCATTGCCATGGTAACATAGAAACCAGATTTCATTGCCATGGTTACATAGAAACCTGATTTTATTGCCATGGTAACATAAAAACCTGATTTCATTCTCATTGTTACATAGAAACCTGATTTCATTGCCATGGTTACATGGAAACCTGATTTCATTGCCATGGTAACATAGAAACCTGATTTCATTGCCATGGTTACATAGAAACCTGATTTCATTTTGTTGGTTACATAGAAACCAGATTTCATTGCCATGGTTACAAAGAAACCTGATTTCATTGCCATGGTTACATAGAAACCTGATTTCCTTTCATTGATTACAAAGAAACCTGATTTCATTGCCATGGTTACATAGAAACCTGATTTCATTGTCATGGTTACATGGAAACCCAATTTCATTGTCATCGTTACATAGAAACCTGATTTCCTTTCATAGATTACAAAGAAACCTGATTTCATTGTCATGGTTACATGGAAACCCGATTTCATTGTCATCGTTACATAGAAACCTGATTTCCTTTCATTGATTACAAAGAAACCTGATTTCATTGCCATGGTAACATAGAAACCAGATTTCATTGCCATGGTTACATAGAAACCTGATTTTATTGCCATGGTAACATAAAAACCTGATTTCATTCTCATTGTTACATAGAAACCTGATTTCATTGCCATGGTTACATGGAAACCTGATTTCATTGCCATGGTAACATAGAAACCTGATTTCATTGCCATGGTTACATAGAAACCTGATTTCATTTTGTTGGTTACATAGAAACCAGATTTCATTGCCATGGTTACAAAGAAACCTGATTTCATTGCCATGGTTACATAGAAACCTGATTTCCTTTCATTGATTACAAAGAAACCTGATTTCATTGCCATGGTTACATAGAAACCTGATTTCATTGTCATGGTTACATGGAAACCCAATTTCATTGTCATCGTTACATAGAAACCTGATTTCCTTTCATAGATTACAAAGAAACCTGATTTCATTGTCATGGTTACATGGAAACCCGATTTCATTGTCATCGTTACATAGAAACCTGATTTCCTTTCATTGATTACAAAGAAACCTGATTTCATTGCCATGGTAACATAGAAACCAGATTTCATTGCCATGGTTACATAGAAACCTGATTTTATTGCCATGGTAACATAAAAACCTGATTTCATTCTCATTGTTACATAGAAACCTGATTTCATTGCCATGGTTACATGGAAACCTGATTTCATTGCCATGGTAACATAGAAACCTGATTTCATTGCCATGGTTACATAGAAACCTGATTTCATTTTGTTGGTTACATAGAAACCAGATTTCATTGCCATGGTTACAAAGAAACCTGATTTCATTGCCATGGTTACATAGAAACCTGATTTCCTTTCATTGATTACAAAGAAACCTGATTTCATTGCCATGGTTACATAGAAACCTGATTTCATTGTCATGGTTACATGGAAACCCAATTTCATTGTCATCGTTACATAGAAACCTGATTTCCTTTCATAGATTACAAAGAAACCTGATTTCATTGTCATGGTTACATGGAAACCCGATTTCATTGTCATCGTTACATAGAAACCTGATTTCCTTTCATTGATTACAAAGAAACCTGATTTCATTGCCATGGTAACATAGAAACCAGATTTCATTGCCATGGTTACATAGAAACCTGATTTTATTGCCATGGTAACATAAAAACCTGATTTCATTCTCATTGTTACATAGAAACCTGATTTCATTGCCATGGTTACATGGAAACCTGATTTCATTGCCATGGTAACATAGAAACCTGATTTCATTGCCATGGTTACATAGAAACCTGATTTCATTTTGTTGGTTACATAGAAACCAGATTTCATTGCCATGGTTACAAAGAAACCTGATTTCATTGCCATGGTTACATAGAAACCTGATTTCCTTTCATTGATTACAAAGAAACCTGATTTCATTGCCATGGTTACATAGAAACCTGATTTCATTGTCATGGTTACATGGAAACCCAATTTCATTGTCATCGTTACATAGAAACCTGATTTCCTTTCATAGATTACAAAGAAACCTGATTTCATTGTCATGGTTACATGGAAACCCGATTTCATTGTCATCGTTACATAGAAACCTGATTTCCTTTCATTGATTACAAAGAAACCTGATTTCATTGCCATGGTAACATAGAAACCAGATTTCATTGCCATGGTTACATAGAAACCTGATTTTATTGCCATGGTAACATAAAAACCTGATTTCATTCTCATTGTTACATAGAAACCTGATTTCATTGCCATGGTTACATGGAAACCTGATTTCATTGCCATGGTAACATAGAAACCTGATTTCATTGCCATGGTTACATAGAAACCTGATTTCATTTTGTTGGTTACATAGAAACCAGATTTCATTGCCATGGTTACAAAGAAACCTGATTTCATTGCCATGGTTACATAGAAACCTGATTTCCTTTCATTGATTACAAAGAAACCTGATTTCATTGCCATGGTAACATAGAAACCAGATTTCATTGCCATGGTTACATAGAAACCTGATTTCATTGCCATGGTAACATAAAAACCTGATTTCATTGTCATGGTTACATAGAATCCTGATTTCATTGCCATGGTTACATGGAAACCTGATTTCATTGCCATGGTAACATAGAAACCTGATTTCATTTCATTTATTACAAAGAAACCTGATTTCAATTCATTGATTACAAAGAAACCTGATTTCATTGTCATGGTTACATAGAAACCTGATTTCATTTCTATGGTTAAATAAAAACCTGATTTTATTTCCATGGTTAAATAGAATTGTCGATTTCATTAAATTGCATGGTTATATTGAAATCTTGATTGCATTTCCATGGTTTTATGGATTTTATTCATTTTCATGATTACATAGAATTGTTGAGTTCATTCTTTGTCATTTCATTGCTACAGTTTTTTTTTTATTATTATTATTTCATTCATTTCCATTCCATGAATTACATAGAACTGTTCATGTCTTTGCTGCATTACAAAAACATCCTTTGTTACTGTTTACTGGAAAACCTATTTTTTATCACTGTTAAAACTTTTGAGGATTATTTGAAAATATTTGTTGTCATAGAAATAAAGATAATGTATTTACATCTGTTGTCATGGTTACAGAATATTCCTTAAAGAGCTGGAGAAATATGAGACAATACCTGAAGATGTTGGCCATTGTTTTGTTACATGGGTAAGTCTTCATTAACTTAATCCCGAAATGAGAATATTTGTCAGTTTTCTATCTGATGTGGTAGTGAAATTGTATATGATTTTTCTATACAATGAACTGTTTTGATCTTACTATATCACATGCTGGCACCGTTATACAGTGTAAAATACCACCATATACATATGATTGATCAGTGTGATGTCCTAAGGACAGTGTAATAATGTTTTGAATTAAATTGGCAAAGACAAAAGAAATTCAATGGTTTTTCTGGTCAAGCCTTTGTCAGATTTGACAAAGAGGATAATTGTATGAGACAATCAATGAAATAATGCTGAAAGACATTCGCTTCACCTATGATTAACATTAAACATAAAGACAATGTCTCGGAGGGATCTAATCAAATTTGAATTCCATAATATGTAAATCAATGAAAATGTGGAGCTCTGCATAAGTAAATAATCATTTTGTTCTGCTGTTTCCGATTTGAATGTTATTTTCCTCATTTCAGGCGGCCAAGTTTTCTATATACGTAACGTACTGTAAGAACAAGCCGGACTCTAACCAGCTCCTGGTGGAACACGCCGGCACCTTCTTTGAGGTGAGGGTCAATTTCCCTGTTGTGTATGGGAGTATACTGTGGCTCTATAACAAATAAACAATTAAGACTTTAAAAAGGTTCTTCAAAAAACAAAATTGATACTGTTTTGATGGGTGGTCGGGTCGTGCAGTGGAAAGTGCACTTGCCTTTCACCAAGGCGGCTGGGGTTCGATTCCCCGATTGGACGTGAAAAGGTATAGGGTCACCTGCCCGACCATGTGGGTTTTCTCCGGGTACTCCTGTGCTCTAACACCCGTTCCAACAAGAGTGATTAATATAAGCTGAGATAGTTTGCTTCATAATTGTTGTAAAATAAAAAATAGTTTCTATTTATGCTTATACTATTTTGAGATATTTATGTTTGTAATCAGTTTCCTCAACCTGTAACATCACACCTCCTTTTCAGAGAGTTTCTACCTAAGCAACATGGAAAGCAGTGTTTATGAACTGTAATACAAAGTATATATCTTAAGGGGAGATAACTCCAACACAAACCACAGGTATAATGTATTTGGTAGTGTATAATCTTTAAGGAGGTAATTCTGTCACAAATTATTAATAAGATAGTGTAACAGAAGAAAGAGAAATGCAATGAGCAGACTGGGGTTCGAACCCGGACCTTCCGAACTCTAGACAGACGCTCTACCAATTGAGCTACCTGGTCACAAAACAATCGACCCAGTCCAGTCTACATTCCTCCCTCCTTTTTTCTAAGTCTTCGCCCCAGAAGACAACTGTTTACAACCAAGGTTCAGATATTCTCTTGCTAAGCACTCGCCCAGTGCTTGAAACAAGGGTTGGCAAGCTCACCAATTTTGTAACAGGAGCAAGAGAAATGCAATGGCCAGACCGGGGTTTGAACCAAGAACCGTCCAAACTCTAGACTCTACCAATTGAGCTACCTGGTCACAAACGATCGATCCACTACAGTTGTATCATTGTAACCTTATTAGGGAAGATAACTTCTAAGGAAGGACAAATCACAGATATTACTGATTAGATAGAATATATTGAAAAGGGAAATAACTCTTACACAAACCTGAGGTTTAATGCTTTTAAGGGATTAAGAAACTTCAAAGATAAAAACTGGTTTTCTTTTTGGTAGGAATGTCAGCAGAAGCACAAACTAAATGAGCCGCTGGCATCTTATCTCATCAAGCCAGTCCAGCGGATCACCAAGTACCAGCTCCTGCTCAAGGACCTTCTGTCCTGCTGTGAGGCCCACACAGGGGAAATCAAGGTAAGGAGGCCCATACAGGGGAAATTAAGGTAAGGAGGTCCATATAGGGGAAATAAAGGTTAGGAGGCCCAAACAGGGGAAATTAAAGTGAAAACGCCCATACAGGGGAAATCAAGGTAAGGAGGCCCACACAGGGGAAATTAAAGTGAAATCGCTCATACAGGGGAAATCAAGATAAGGAGGACCATACAGGGGAAATCAAGGTAAGGAGGTCCACACAGGGGAAATTAAAGTGAAAACGCCCATACAGGGGAAATCAAGGTAAGGAGGCCCACACAGGGGAAATTAAAGTGAAAACGCCCATTCAAGGGAAATCAAGGTAAGGAGGACCATACAGGGGAAATCAAGGTAAGGAGGTCCACACAGGGGAAATTAAAGTGAAAACGCCCATACAGGGGAAATCAAGGTAAGGAGGCCCACACAGGGGAAATTAAAGTGAAAACGCCCATACAAGGGAAATCAAGGTAAGGAAGCCCATACAGGGGAAATCAAGGTAAGGAGGCCCTTACAGGGGAAATCAAGGTAAGGAGGCCCGGCCATACAGGGGAAGTTGAGGAAAGCAGGCCCACATATAGATTGTCTTTTTTTAGTCTTGATTCACACATATAGAAAATCTACTGAAAGAGCTCACCACAAAGTAAAATAAAAATAAAAGACTAATGCTGTATCTAATGGAGAGTAAGAAAAAAACACCTTACAAATATATGACTAGTCTAGAGCATCTGACATCCTCGATACTCTAGGGGGTACGGTCTCTTACACACTCTATAGCCCTGGAATATGATATAGCAAAATAAAAGGCACATGGCTAGCTATTTGATTGGTCTCAAGTACAAAAAAACTGACAAACCGCTAGGCTGATACATGTCCTTTGAAGATTACAGAGAAGCGACACCCGACTTCAAAGACAGTCAGTTTTATAGTTAGGCTCACCCGGGATTCATTTGATGAGCATCAAAGGATCAAAGAAGTTCTCTTCGTCTCATCCACAAGGCGGTGCACGCTGAGCCTTCGATTTGGCTATGACATATTCCAGGGGTGCAGAGAGCGTCGGTGAGCGTAACTTCTGAAGTATCGAGGATGGAGCGTCTGACAGTATTTGAACAAAATCTATGAATTCGGGAGACCTACGTCAGACTTAAAACACAGTCCTCACATAGCTGTATAGATATTGTTTATCTTGGGCACTGCATAGTGAAAGTATTGTTGGTGTCATATTGATGTTGCATAATTTATGAGAAATAGATATGAATACAATAATGAGGGGAACCTTGCAAATCTCTCAAAAAAAAAATTTAAACTTTTCCGTCTCCTGTTGTTGTTATGACATAATTGACCTTTTGTTTGACCTTGATCTACAGGATGGTTTGGAGGTGATGGCGTGCGTACCTAAGAAGGCTAACGACGCGATGCATCTGTCACTGTTAGAGGGGATGGAAGACAGTTTGGAGGCCTTGGGAGAAGTCGTCCTCCAGGACAACTTCATGGTGTGGGAACCCAAACAACTAATCAAGAAGGGGCGGGACCGACACATCTTCCTGTTCGACGCGTGCCTCATTTTCGCCAAGGACGTCAAGGACAGTAACGGGAAGGCCAAATACATGTACAAGTTCAAACTCATGGTAGGTAGCAAATAACCAGGGCCAGAAAATTGAAGCAATTAACAAAAAATGAAAAAGAAGTAACAGAAATGTTGTGTTTTTATCCCTATACGTATTACCTGTATGTTATCCATTGATAGCGATGTGACTTACCTGTAAACTCTTGTATACAACAACGGATAGGAGAACATGGAAATGTTATGACACCTTCAGATGAATACATACCTTTATTGACGTTTTATGTATGAAGTGCGTTAATCTTGTCGAAAAATGCTATGCTATAAAGCTCACAGAAGTCATTATTTGGTGCATTACAAATGAGTAGGAAGACAGTCTGCTTGAAGTTGGGATGACATGTTTTTGCATCGTGAAATTTTCGTGGGTTAGATTTTGACACATTCACTACAAGCACCAAATTCATCAAAATAACACCACATTCAAAATAACACCACATTCAAAATAACACCACATTCAAAATACCCTGAAGTACAATAATTGGTTACAGATTGTCCTAATTGGTGATCTAGGATTTAAGGTGCTTTGCTCTACTTTGATGAAAATGTAGATAATCGAGTCTAGAAACCATTAACCCTTTCACCCCTATGTAACTTTAGTAGACTCTACCATGCATTAATTGATATGGATGAGTCCATTATGGTCTACAGTGTTGAAAGGGTTAAAGAGCTGATTAAGTACAAAATTACAATTTCAGAATATCTATTGATCAAAGCTTTGTAGGAAATGATTGCCTTTACAGGAATGAATGTCAAATCAAAAATCAAAAATGAGAATTTTAAAAAATCAGTGCTATGTGATTCCCAACTGTGTTTCTGTTCTATTTTCCCCCAGATATCTGATGTGAACATCACGGAGCACATAGAAGGGGATGAGACGAAGTTTGCTCTGTGGACGGGTCGCGCTCCGATTTCAGACTATCGTATCATACTGAAGTGTACAAACCTGGATGCAAAGCAGACGTGGGTGAAGAAACTACGCGAGCTAATGCAGGACCGTATGCTGTACATGCAAGGAGACAAGGAAGTCTTGTTCAAACAAGCACCGAAGGTCTTCCATTCCACCAAGGAACCGGTCCTCGGACTCTACAAAGGGTGAGTTACAGACATACACAATTAAGTCAAAGTAGCCGCACTTCCTGGGGATCGAAGTCAAGTTTCCGGAAAATTGGAAGATCTCTTTTGCACATGGTGATATCTGATGTTCAATACTATAGAACGAAAACAATTTGGCGATCATAAAATTTGGGGATTTTGATCTTTACCTATAGCTAATATTTGGCAATTTAAGATTTGGCAATCTGCCATAAGCCTGGCGTGTTAATTTGGCTCTTAAATGCATAGCATCATCTGTATCATCAGCTCCCAATGTGTAAGTCCACTTGCCCTCTGTACACAGATATATAAAGGTCATAGCATCATCTGTATCATCAGCTCCCAATGTGTAAGTCCACTTGCTCTCTGTACACAGATGTATTAAGTTCATAGCATCATCTGTATCATCAGCCCCCAATGTGTAAGTCCACTTGCTGTCTGTACACAGATATATTAAGTTCAAAGCATCATCTGTATCATCAGCCCCCAATGTGTAAGTCCACTTGCTGTCTGTACACAGATATATTAAGTTCATAGCATCATCTGTATCATCAGCTCCTAATGTGTAAGTCCACTTGCCCTCTGTACACAGATATATTAAACTTCTAGCAGCTGCCATAGCGTAAATACTAAACAACCTGTATCGGGACAATGGTTCGCGTTAACATGCGAGACAACATGAAGTGTCCTGTCACTCACCTCATTGTTGTCAAAGTAAAGGTCTCTGTGTGGTCATTGATTTGTGTCCGTTAGAATTTAACAACAACTCTACCGTAGATGTTTGACACCTTCGACAAAATTTAAAGGTTAATGAGTATAATATTGTGGAGCTGTTTTATAAAAGATGACTGTCCATATGGTTAACAAAGTTTTATTCTAGTCATGACTTTTCTAGTCTGTAATATGGAAATTACATTTATGGTACCATGAGTACATTAGGAATATTAGTTTTGTAATAACTATACTTAATAAATATCAACATTCTCACTTTCATTGTACCTTATTTACATCATGGATGTTTACTTCTTGCATTCATTGTACCTTACTTACATCATGGATGTTTACTTCTTGCATTCATTGTACCTTATTAACATCATGGATGTTTACTTCTTGCATTCATTGTACCTTATTTACATCATGGATGTTTACTTCTTGCATTCATTGTACCTTATTAACATCACGGATGTTTACTTCTTGCATTCATTGTACCTTATTTACGTCATGGATGTTTACTTCTTGCATTTATTGTACCTTATTAACATCAGGGATGTTTACTTCTTGCATTCATTGTACCTTATTAACATCACGGATGTTTACTTCTTGCATTCATTGTACCTTATTTACGTCATGGATGTTTACTTCTTGCATTTATTGTACCTTATTTACATCATGGATGGTTACTTCTTGCATTCATTGTACCTTATTTACATCATGGTTGTTTACTTCTTGCATTCATTACGCCTTATTTACAACATAGATGTTTACTTCTTGCATTCATTGTACCTTATTTATATCATGGATGTTTACTTCTTGCATTTATTGTACCTTATTAACATCATGGATGTTTACTTCTTGCATTCATTGTACATTACTTACATCATGGATGTTTACTTCTTGCATTCGTTGTACCTTATTTACATCATGGATGTTTACTTCTGGCATTCATTGTACCTTTTTTACATCATGGATGTTTACTTCTTGTATTTATTGTACCTTATTTCCATCATGGATGTTTACTTCTTGCATTTATTGTAACTTATTTACATCATGGATGTTTACTTCTTGCATTTATTGTACCTTATTAACATCAGGGATGTTTACTTCTTGCATTCATTGTACCTTATTTACATCATGGATGTTTACTTCTTGCATTCATTACGCCTTATTTACATCATAGATGTTTACTTCTTGCATTCATTGTACCTTATTTACATCATGGATGTTTACTTCTTGTATTTATTGTACCTTATTTATATCATGGATGTTTACTTCTTGTATTTATTGTACCTTATTAACATCAGGGATGTTTACTTCTCGCATTCATTGTACCTTATTTACATCATGGATGTTTACTTCTTGCATTCATTACATCTATTTACATCATGAATGTAGACTTTTTGCATTCAATGTTCCTTAGATGTGTACGTCTTTTGTTCATTGAGCCATGCTTATATAATGTGTGAAAACACATTACATTGATTGAACCTTACTTACACCATGAATACAGATTTTTTCATGAAGAGTTATATTTTGGAGATAAATTTTCACAATCCATTGCGAGATTTGATCAAAGAAAAGAGTGTTTAATCCTTTCACCCCTATGTTACTTTAATAAACATTACAATACATTGATCTGGATCAGTTCATTATGGTACACAGAGGTGAAAGGGTTAAAGAAATTGGTGAAACACTTAGTCAAATGTTGAATGAAGGTGTACATGTAATTATTATCAAAATATGTCAAAATTGTTATAAAATGTCTTTTAAAAGGAATATTGGTGAAATTAGATATTATCTAAATGATATCACTAGAGTCTGACATTTCACGTTTTTCCGTTCTTGTTTTACAGAGAATATGACATGGCTTCTCTGGACGACCTTCCGATGGAGCGACGAGGATCGCTGACGTCTATGAACTCCACCGCAACCACAGGAACCACCGATAGTAGCAGCAGCGGAGGCATCATCAAGGTCAGGGCAATGTTTTATTTTGTATCAATTTTGTATTTTTCGTCTACTTTGTCAAAAAAATTGCCTAGATTGTATGTGAGTGCTTGAGAGGCCGTGTCAGAATTCTCCACTCTAGGATGTCTACAGACTAAAGGATCCGGCTACGGCTGTCAAAAACTGAAACTGAGTTTTGGAAACTGTTTTTTTACGGCATGACTATACTTTGATAAATCATCTCTGAAAAGAAACCATGTATTGCAGGACTTTTAGAGAAAAAAAGATATAAACAAAATATAAACAACAACATTGTTCTAAGCGGGGCTGGCCCAGGAGTCGAACCCTAGACCTCAGATTGATATGCTATTTCTCTAACCGATCGAGCTATATCTGGTCAACAGAAGTGGCCTGGCCCAGCTGTGCTTAATTCTTCTACTTGTTTCATAAATCTTATATAAATACCAACTAAGATTGCCTACTTGCTTACAGTATCTCAAACAAAGATTCGTGCTTTGTGTGTAAAGGACAGCTGGTTGCTAGGGACAGTTGGTTGCTAGGGACAATTGGTTGCTAGGGACAATTGAACAAATCCCCCCAATTAAGATTAGGTCACACACTAATCTGAAAGTATTGATTAATTCAGGGTAGGAATATAGATAGCTACAAATTGTCTGTATGGTAATATTGTGTATAGTAAATGGTTACGGGGACAGAGCATAGCGGAACATTGTACGGGCCTTGTAATGTAGATATAGGTTTCCTGTACTTATCACATTCTGTCTCTCCCTCTAGAGGTCTGTCCATAATTTCGTTTCTGGAGAAATATTTTTATTATTTCTTTTGATTTGACATTGTGATACACTGTGATATGCAGATGTGCAATAAGGATTTAGAAAAATTCTAAGGTCAAGGTCAAGGACAGTGTTACTAAAAATAGACTATATAGATCCTTATCTTGGAATCCAAACGCTATTTATTTATTTTTTAAATTGACGCAGTGATACACTGTGAAATGTGGCTGTGTAAAAGTTTCTTATATATACGTTCATGTCACTGTTACTGAAAATATACCATTGGCAATACAGTCCTTGTCTTGAAATCCGAAACTTAGATCTTTTGGAAATTTGACATGGTGATGCACTGTGATATGTAGATTTGCAAAAAGGGATTTGTAATACCTTCAGTAAGATTCATCAGTTTAGGTTATATCAAACTTTTGCTTTATACACAAACAATCTACATAATAAACGTGACGCAACGTTTCAAGACTGACTGGTCCCTTTGTTAAGCTATGACTGAGTGAACGATTGGTTTTGTTTACCTGTACAATGGTGTGACGAAATTGTATCTTTCTTATGTCACTTGACCCGGGACGTTTCGCCTATCGATAGAGCGCATATACACACTGTATCGAAGGGTTCTGTAAGTTTCACAAGTCAGGTCAAGTCCACTGTTATTAAAATAAAACTATATAAGAGTTATGGTCCATATCTTGGAATCCAATCATGGTTTTAAAAAGTTTTCTTACAATATGGTCAAAGTCAAGACAACTGTGGCTGAAAGAATGACATTATGCAGAAGATAGTTATTTAAACATTGGTTTTAGATTCTCTAAATGCACAAAATATTTAGCAAAGAAAGGTTGAACTGTATAAGAAGTTTGGGGTTCTGGAGAGGAAATGGGATTGGCAAAAGGGATGGTTGGATTGGGGAGGAAGAAGAGAGATGGTGGGTTTGGGGGAGGAGAAGAGAGATGGTTGGATTGGGGAGGAGAAGAGAGATGGTGGGATTGGGGAGGAGAAGAGAGATGGTGGGTTTGGGGGAGGAGAAGAGAGATGGTGGGATTGGGGAAGAGAAGAGAGATTGTGGGATTGGGGAGGGAGAAGAGAGATGGTTGGATTGGGGGAGGAGAAGAGAGATGGTTGGATTGTGGAAGGAGAAGAGAGATGGTGGGTTTGGGGGGGAAGAAGAGAGATGGTGGGATTGGGGAGGGAGAAGAGAGATGGTTGGATTGGGGAGGGAGAAGAGAGGTGGGGGGGATGGGGGGGAAGAAGAGAGATGGGGGGGTTGGGGAGGGAGAAGAGAGCTGGTTGGATTGGGGAGGGGAAGAGAGATGGTGGGATTGGGGGAGGAGAAGAGAGATGGGGGGATGGTGGAGGGGGAAGAAAGAAGAGAGATGGTTGGCTTGGGGAGGGAGAGGAGGGATGGTTGGGTTGGGGAGGGGGAAGAGAGATGGGTGGATTGGGGAGGGAGAGGGGGGATGGTTGGATTGGGGGAGGGGAAGAGAGATGGTGGGTTTGGCAAAGGAGAAGAGAGATGGGGGGATTGGGGAGGGAGAAGAGAGTTGGTTGGATTGGGGAGGGAGAAGAGAGATGGTTGGATTGGGGAGGAGAAGAGAGATGGTGGGTTTGGCAAAGGAGAAGAGAGATGGTTGGATTGTGGGGAGGGTAGAGATGATTTGATTTGCAAAAGGGAAGAAATGGTTTGATTTGGGAGTCGAAATGGCAGAGTGAAATATATAGCATAGCAAATGTGTGTATTTGTGTGTGTGTCAGAGGAGGGGTGGGGGGATTGGATGGTGGGGATAGTGGGTTTGGAATAAGGGGCTAACTCTGTTCTGGCAGGCTTCCAAGTTTGGAAAAAATGAAATGAAATAATGTATTATAGAAAATGTTTGAGGCAGTTTGAAAGGAGTGAATGTTTGTGAAGTCTTGATCACCCCACTGACATCAATAGGTGATCATCTATTTCTATACGCTTGACTGGTGCTGAGGTAACTAGCTCATTCACTGCCACCTAAATCTCTCAGAATTCATTTCTCTGCCTACACTAGACGTCTACATCAGTTTCCTCCTGGTCTCCCACCCCTAAGAAAACATGTCTATCTAGGATTCCTCCAGAGGGTGCTGTTTCAGTGGCCGTAAGATTCATAAGTAATTACACAGACGTGGGCAATGTACCAATACTACATTGTTCATCCTCAAGGGAGCATTATGTTACCAAACTTCAATGAAAGTGCTACTGTGTGGCTGTCAGTATTCACCCACTGCTTGTGTACGGCTAATTAATGTAATGTGAAGCTAAATGCACAGCTAGAATTATTACAGTAAAAAAATGTTGTGGAAAAGTGGGGTGTGGGCTTATCACCAGTAAAATATGGTAATATGATCATTAAGATACATGATGAGGATGCTGTTCCATTGACAATGCTCGTGAGTCAGCGGAAAAAAACACTTGTTATCTTTATAATATTTTAAGGTAAAATTTAAATTGTTGATAATTTAATAAGAAAATAGAAGTGAAAACGAAATATTCATGTTCTGATATTCAAAATAAGAAATCTTACATACTAAACACAAAAAAAACTATCTGTTAATCAAAGATTTTGAATTTTGTTAGATTTAGTGGCCAAATAATGCCCTACCATGCATGATCTTTTTCAGATTTGAATTTTTGCATGAAAGTGCTAATAGAGCTAGCACAAATACATGTATATATATATATATCTTAGAGGGAAACAACTTTCACACAAATCAGTATAATGTGTGAAGCAGCATTGCATAAAAGGAGATCACTCTAATACGAATAATAGGTTACTGTACAACACTTTAAATTTGCGGGGTCAATATTTCGCGATAATGTTAAAGGTAGTATATACTTAAGGGAGATAACTCTAACACGAATCACAGGTATAATGTGTAAGGTAACGAAAACCCTTAAGGGAGATAACTCTAACACGAATCACAGGTATAATGTGTATGGTAACATAAACTCTTAAGGGAGAAAACCCTATCACAAATCACAGGTATAATGTGTAAGGCAACATAAACCCTTAAGGGAGATAACTCTAACACAAATCACAGGTATAATGTGTAAGGCAACATAAACCCTTAAGGGAGATAACTCTTACACGAATCACAGGTATAATGTGTAAGGTAACATAAACCTTTAAGGGAGATAACTCTAACACGAATCACAGGTATAATGTGTAATGTAACATAAACCCTTAAGGGAGATAACTCTAACACGAATCACAGGTATAATGTGTAAGGTAACATAAACCTTTAAGGGAGAAAACCCTAACACAAATCACAGGTATGATGTGTAAGGTAACATAAACCCTTAAGGGAGATAACTCTAACACAAATCACAGGTATAATGTTGAAGTTAGCTCATTTTCTTAACATGTGAATTTGTGTCTGCTTTATTTTTTTTAAGTAATATGCCTGTTTCCCTGGGTAAATAATCATGTAGCTAATGTTTTGTACAGTTATCTCATTTTTGTGTGAATTACTTGTTTGGTCTCGACTTTACATTTTTTTGCTACAATCTGTCATCTCTAGACGAAGAAAATTCATCATGTCCCTACAACAGGTCCATTTTATCTGTTTGTGTTGGCAGTAAATGTTCCTGGACTATAGTTCTTTGTGTTCTGATGTTTAGTAAACTTAAAATCTAAAACTTAAACTTCGCTAAAATGTCTTGTTGGGGACCATTAGACAACAATGGCAGCTTAGTTAGGGAGCTGACCTGAATGGTGTACATGCCAGTGTTGTCCTGGTAACAACATCAGCACTAATGATGTGTGCCAACCGTTAACACAGATACAGCTTGTTTTAAATGTAATATGCAAAGTACAGACATGTCAGCTGGCAGTAGAATGTATTTTCTTTGTAACCAGAGAGAATAGAAACAAAGTAAGCTTTGACTTCTGTGACTTTAACCTCCTCTTCAATAGAGCTACATGCCAGGGAACAATGAACAATGCTTACCAACAGATTATCTAAGGGAAGTAACTCTAACACAAATAAAATAATGTGTTTGAGGTAGCAATTATATCCTGAAGGGAAATAACTCTAACTCAGTCATAGGTATTATGTGTAAGGTAGCATATGGCCTCAGACCACAAATATACTTCCAGGTCGTTGTACACAAATGTAGTGCATAAGGACATTTCAAGTAGGTGACTAGACAAAAAATTCTGATCTTATGACAGATATATAATTTTTTTTTTACATAGAATT